GGGGGGGGGGGGTCAGGTGTGACATGGGATAGGATCGCTTGTTCAGCAGGATCCCGGGAAGCCGGCGTTTTTTTTTCGCTGTGCACTTTTGCGGAATGTACCACATTGTTGAGCGCGGGGTGCAGGAAGTAGTCATCATCGATTGACACATTGGGTTTCCTCGTACTCCACGCAGTATAACAGAGACGATGCCTCTTCCTGTTGCCCTCTCTCTCCCCAGACCATCGTACGTGGCATACTGCCTGCCGAGGCCGCTCCAGCTGTGCTCATTTATTTCTTTTGGCGCCGTGTCTCGATTTTGTTTTTCATCTGCTGGGTTGTTTGCTCCCCCTCCGCCATCAACACGATGATTATGACGATGATGTCTGTCCGCTCTTTGTTCTTTCTCGTTCATGGTACTACGGCTCGTTGTTAGCCTCCCCGGTGTAGTTGTAGGTGCTTAGCCCCATCCCCAATTTTTGGGTGCTGCTAGACTCGTGTTGATACTTGATAAGGTGTAGCCGCGCTCGTCTGTACGGAACCAGGTTGTTGGTGTTGTTGAGTCGATGAAAGGAATTGTGAAAGAAATGTGAGCATGAACACGACGTGAAAAAAAAACACAACATGGTTCCACTGCCTTCGCGGTACTTTTACCGGCGTAGTGAAATACCACGGCGCTGCCAAACTGGAGCGGGCACCGTGGGAGTCGTCAACAAGTGAAGGTAGGCCTGGTATGTATGAATGTATGCGCAGGGATGGCAACCCGTTCACCATGGCGTATCGAACAAGCACGAGCATAGCGCCTTCTTCTGTCAAGGCCACAAACACCAACAGGAGGGATCCTTTTCTTCTTCCCCTCTTTGAGAAGCCAAAAGAAAAAGCCGAGGAAAGCAAGTCCACAAGAGCAACGCTAAAACGTTGAGCGATGATTTGCGTTTCGCAAAGCACGCCGTAGCCAAGCATATGCCGTAGCCAAGGGGAGAGAGGGGCACGGATCCTTGTGCAACACGTCACCGACAACCACGTCCATCTTTTGACTTGCGTGGCTCCATACACCGATAGACGTGAACCGATGCTTAAAACTTGGAGCGGTACACGCATGTACCCCCCGTACAAGAGCGCCTTGGTGCCGAGACTACAGCAGACGACACTATAAACTTGAGTGAAAGGAGTTTACACCTCCTTGCTGAGAATGTAGCAGAACGGCCCTGAAAACAGACCAGTTGCAAGGTCGGTCGCACATACTCTGAACCGTGACGCTGGCAACGGCATCCAAAGAAAATATTGCCACGCTTCATCTACGCAGCGGTTTAGCCACGATGGCGAGACTGCTGTGCGAAACAAATCCAGCTTCTTAAGCGTTCGCGTACTGCTCGAGAAGACGCCACAACACCGGACGGGCGGCCAAATCTTGTTACCAAAAAACATAACCATGCTCGGAGACATAAATCTCAGTTACGTGTCGCGTCACACGATTGCCACCCCTTCTCTACACTTCCCAACCGCGCCCCCCCCCCCCCC